TGTTAATTAGTTTTTTGTGCTACCTAAATTTTTTTTCAACAAAATTAGTTGCAAATTTTTAATATTTTAAAGACAGAAAATGATGGAGTTATGTGGTGCCTTGCTTTCATCTTTCGATAAACGTTTAATAAATTTATTTAACTAAAATTATAAGAAAAAAAATTTACTTGTAAGGATCATTTGAAAGCTTGTCAAATTACGAGCAAACTAAAAGAGTAAAGTAAAATTACTTAAAATAAATTGATATCTTTATTTTTCTGTTAGAAATATAACATTTCAGGATTGAGTTTTCTTAGATAAAAACAAAAGAAAAAACAGAAAGCAATTTTTTTTTTTTTTTGAAACGAGTGAAATTTCAATTTTGAAAAGATTATAGGAGGAGCTCCTCCTAGCGGTGGCGCATTCTATCAACCTGCTCAAAGTAACCCTCCTGGCGGTGGAGCATTCTATCAACCTGCTCAAAGTAACCCACCTGGTGGTGGCGGTTTTTATTCAGGTAATTCATGCTCTGTAATTTTGCCAGTCATTAATTAAATAGTAGATATTTGTAGTTTTTTTTAATTATGATTTCAATTGATTTTCAATTTTTTCAAAAATTTTATGTATTTACTTTTTTGTTTTCAATTTTAATTTTTAAAAATTTGCATATTAGCAGAGAATTTGTCGCATCGAATTTCAGGTGGTGGCAGAGGAGTAGCTAGTAATATTCCTACCGGATATGGTACAGGTGTTGGTGGTGGTAGTGCAGGAGATATACCTCCAAATATTCCTCCACCACCAGAATTACCACTTTCAATACCAAAACAGTTCAATTCTGATGACAATATGATGCGTGTTGAAGAACAACCGATGCCTGGTGCTCCATTGGGCAGTAATGCTGTTGAAGGTAAACTTAACACAATCAGTTAAGCTATAGTACCATGAGATAATCTTGATATTGTCAGGTAAGTCTTAATATCATAAGCTAAGACTGATATTTAGATGGGTTTAATTATTCATTTCTGAAGCAAACGAGAAAAAAGATTATTGCAGTCGCTTATTTTAGAAGTTCATTTATCATTGGCTCGAAAAAGATCTTCAATATCTTTGAAAAAAGAAAAAGAAAATTTTTAGAAAATTCAAACTTCTTATAGTTATGATTTTTATGATATTCAAGAAATATCATAAAAAAATAATAATTTTAACAATTGAACTTTCCTTTTTCTCAAATATTCGAAAATTCCACTTTTGATTATTGAGGTTTTGCAGTTGATAACTTGAGAGTTGATAATGATTATTATACGTGAAATAATATAAATTTAATATAACAAATGATCAAAACATTCTCCTTCTTTTCTCTCTTCCTATCTCTGTTCCTTTTCTTTCTTTCTTTTACTTAACATTTTCGTGAAGCGGATTTTCATTGGTAAGCAAATATTAGGTGTAAAAATTCTTAAAATTTTATAAATTAAAAAAACTAACAAAATATTTTATTTGAAATTTTTAAAGCACTGATTGTCAAATTTATTTATTTCCTAATAATATAGTATAAAGAAAAAAATATTTCAGTTCACTTCGATTTCTAGCCATTTCAAGCATTTAATTTTGCACTATCTTCATATTTAAAAATTATCAAATTTTGAAAAAGTGCCAAAAAAAAATTTTTTTTCCCATTTGATAATGTTAGTAAGAATGCTAGTAAAATAATAAATTTTAGAGCATTAATTCAATTAAAGTTATTTAAATATTTCATATTTCAGGCTATCATTTGAAAACAAATAATTTCTATTGTTTTGTATTTTTTATTTATTAAAAAAAAATTAAACAATTTTAGCTAAACCAGATTTGACATCGAATCGACAAACAATTGGTGAAAGTGCTTACGAGGAAATTGTTAGCGATCATGAAGTTGCACAACAACAACAAAAACAACAACAACAGCAACAGCAACAACAACAACAGCAACAACAACAACTGCAGCAACAACAACAACAACAACAACAACTGCAGCAACAACAACAACAACAACAACAACAACAACAACAACAACAACAACAACAACAATCAAGTGCAGAAAAAGATCAAATGAATAGTTATATAGCGGAAAAGAATATCGGTAATGTAGCACCTGTAACAACAGGTAGTAACGAATTGTTGAATAAATATGAGCACGTTGGATCGAAAAGTTCATATGCTGAAGGAGGTGATCAAGGTGAAACATCAGCACAGCAATTAGAAATTGGAGCAGGATCAACTGCTTCAGTAACTATGAAATCAGCTGAATTCGAATCATTAGTAAATTTTTGTTGCATTCTTAAATTTCACTGCATTTATTGTTGTAGCATTTAATTTTGAAATAATTATTTATACAATAGATGAAATAATTTATTAAATTTTATCATATAAAATATTTTCTTTTTTTTTCATATCTTTAAATTAATCATATCATTTTTTTTTATTCAGATTAAAAATTGATTAAATTTTTTAGGAATCAACAAGAGTGGATGCTAAAAGTGATGATACAATAGCTGATGCAATTGCCGGATATGGTGGAAGCGATGGAAATACAATTGTGGAATCAAGGAGTATTGAAACGGATGATGCAACATGTAATGATCCAATTTTAAAAGCTATTGTTGAGGTATAGTTTGATTAGCACTTTTGCTAATTTGTTAAATTAATTTAACATAGCATTCATATCCTGCATTTTTTTTCGCTTACTTATAATTTTTGAAATTAGCTTTAAAAAAAGTTCTGAAAGAATTTGCATTTAAAATTTTATCAGAAAAAATGAATTTTTTTTAAATTTGAATAATTAAATTTTTTTCCCAATGCATTTCAATCATTCAAAAAAAAAAACGTAGTAATTCATTTTTTTTTTTCGTAAATTTATAAAATTAATTCGCCTGCTAATTAATTACACAGTTAATTTGTACAGCCAATAAAATTTAATTGCAGTCAACACTAAAAGAGCATCGTGATAATTTGGATGCAGCACGAACTATCGAAGGGAAAGCATCGAAACGTTTTGGTGGACGATTTAATTCTATTGTTTCTGATTCCGAATTTGCCTATGTAAATTGGTATGGCAAGCGTAATTGCCAGTTACAGCTTAACGGAAGGCATTCATTAACATGGGAGGATTAAAACTATCTTATCAATTCATTTCTAATCATAAATGAAATAAAAGTTTGTCATTAAACTAACCCAAAAACTTTCTAATAATCGTTTCTTTTTTTTTTTTCTTTTGCTTAAACATACATTATAATGGATGAAAAAAAAAATTTTTTTCAATTATGTATAAAAATGAATATTTTAAAAAACAATGTTACATATTAGTGAAAAAAATAAAATTGATTGAATATAAAATATTCCAATTTAAATTCATCCAATAATATTAAACGACAAATAATTACTAATGATGAACACATATGTATATGCTTGGATATTTTGGAAAACATTAATTCATTTCCTTCAAAATGTTAAATTAATTATCTTGTACTAATTGTGTAGGATAACTAATTTCGATTTTAAGAAAAAAATTTATTTATCATTTGCTCATTAATCTTTATTGTTAGATTTTGTTATATTTTTCATTGATTATATTCAAATTAGGTATCATTTTCTTTCCTTTCTTCTATTTTTTCATTTTTCCTTTTTTTTTTTGTAAAATAATCTATTAGATTAGTAGGTTTCTTTGATGTAATGTGATATTGTATTGATTAATTAAATGTGATACTGTATTAATTAATAATGTATTGTATGATGTGACGAGACGACTGCTTGGTACATTTTTTCATTTTGTATAAAAAATGAAAACCCTGTCGAGATCCGTTCATCATTCTACTCGATAAATTAATTTTTATTAGAAAAATAAGAGATCTGCTAAAATTTTTTTTCCAAATTGTTGAAATCGATTATATGAACATTTCCAGCTAGGCAAATATTTTAATTAATTAATGAAAAAAATTTTTATCAGAAACATTTATGCCTTCGTTTAGCTAATTAATTAATGCTATTATAGCATTAATTAATTAGCTAAACAAAGGCATACGTGTTTTCCTAACATTGCACAGTATTTTGTTCACAGTCACTGTAAAAGTTTTGCAAAACAATTCAAAATTAACATAAGCTTTTATGCCTTCATAATTAATTAATTGAATTCTCTACTTAATGCTTCTATGTTTAAAACGTTTTTTTTTATCTCAATTTGCACAAAAAATTCAGAAAATATTTTTAAGAATAGAAAAACATTTATGTCTTTAAAATCAATTAATCAGTTAATGTTATTCTCCCTGCTTTCTTTCATCATAATTGCTGTAAAATTCTTCGAAACAACTTTAAAACTATCCAATCATTAATTAATAAAATAGTTCATACTTAAACTTGGAATTTCTAATTAGTGTTGCGATATCGTTCAAAGTTATAGCACACTTTCGATCCTATCCAGCAAAAAACAATAATAATTTCCACCATATATAGGAAATACTTAAAATAATCATTTCATCACAACGAAAATTTCACTCACAAAAAAAATTTTGAGTAGGAAAAATTTTTTCTTGAATTTCACTTCAAAACCGAAAATAATTTCTAATTTCTTGCTTTCAAAAAAAGCTTATTATTATTATTATTGTTTATTATTATTATCATTATCATTATCACTATCATTTTTTTTTCTTCCAAATTCAGTTTTTTCACTTTTCTTTTTTCTTTTAGGCACCAAAAATTGATGTAAATTTTTTCAGTGGAAAAAAGCAGAAAAAAAAAGATAGTACAAATAATATTTGCTTTTTTGTCATATTTTTTACTGCAAAATCTTTTAATTCATTTTTGAAATGTGTAAATTGAAGTTTGTTTCCTTTTGTCGCGTGAAAAAAGAATTTTGGTTGTTTTCGGA